AATTCCGTCTGGAGGCGTTCAACAGTTGTCGGAATCACTTTTACCACTCACTATAATAGTTATTTATGTATTAAGGGCATAATCAGGGAGATTGTGGCACGAGGGAATGTTTAAAGCCCGACGAAGGAGGGCTTTTAATTTCCCGAGTGCCACAATCGACAATTATGCACGTGGTACATACAACGTTTTATTCTATTTTAGTTTCTAACTACTTGTAACGAAATATTGAGTATTTTCGGCAAGACTGTGTGAATTGTGCCGATGCGAATTTTAATACATAGCTGGCTATTATTTTGATGTTGTTATGGATACCACGTTGATTATTTGATAATTCGTTTTTCAAAATGTAAATTAAAGAAGTGGAAAACCTTTATTCAAACGAAAGTTTAGAAGAATTTGAAGTCGGTCAGGTAATGATTTGATAAAATATTATTTTTCCAACTTAAGAAAAACGTTGAATATCGAAGCGTGTTTGAATAATTAATTGATTAGTGTAAATGAACAATCAATTGTTGCTTAGCAATTTTTGACAGATTTGTGCTAAAAAGGCCAATTTAAGCCCGCATTTGGGTGCTTATAAATAAGATTATGGTTCTAAAATAGAATAAAAAAGATTAACGACAAATACAACGATTAACACCAGCTGAACAGGTAACAGGGTCTAATTTTTACAATTATTTATAAAAACTCATTCCGTCGAGCTATGGCATTATCGATCTGGATTCTGGATTATACATACGGGGGCCGGCCGGTACTTAGTCCCCCCCTTTGGGTGCTCTGTGCTTTCCCCGGTTCAAATCAGGATGTCAGGATTTAGTGTTTTATTATGCACTCCAACAAAAAATTTCAAATGAAAATAATCTCTAAGTGAAACATAATAAGTAGCTTTAAAAAATAGTAAACTTAAGCTGCAAAGGACGTTAGAAAACAGCCATCATTTATGGATTCCATAATGGTTAGAATGTCGTTCTGTATAACTTCACTTCATAAAATTAAAATTCCTTTCAAATTTAAAGCAAGTTTTTGCCATAGCACCAAATTATTGTAACAATGGTTTAAAGTTTATTATGAAACTTACGCTTACGCACTCGATGCATCAACGGATGTTAATATAATGTTCACAGAAGGACAAAAACTACTAAAAACTTATTACAGGGTGTAAGTGGATAAAAATTTCTTACATTTAATTGCTGTTGTATGTTATTGAAGATGATATGTTGTCGGACTTACTGGATTAGCCTTCACTTTTTATATACTACAGATGACCAAGAATTTTAGCCTTAGTGTCTTTTGCATACTTGGTTGTAGAAACGTTTATTTGTGGATTTGTTTGTTTTACGATATTTGAACCTGAATTAAGGCGAAAGTATTCCATTTTCGGATTAAGATCTAAGTAGAATAGACTCTAAATGTTAGATTTGTAAATTTATTCATATAAAATTTTAGTCACTGTGCTCCTATGTAACTCTTTTTTTCCAAACAAAACGAATGCGATGAAATACTCTAGGATATTTTTCCCAGATTTTGGAGTCACCACTGGATAAGCATTAAAGCCTTCCAACAATTAAAACAGAGGGCAAAAATTGCTATAATTGTCAGTGTGTTTACAATAACTTTCATAGTTGTCGGTGGACTGACTAATTAATTATTCTTCCTATTACTGGAAATGAACATGATCTTTATTTGTCCATTAAAATCTACATAGATTATGTGGGAAAGGGAAATACTTTGTTTATTATATTTTTTATATATGTCTTTTTCTTATATTGGTATAACTACAATTTCCTCTGCACTTACCCTGAAGTATTTAATAATGTATCCAACATTACAGTGTTTTTGTTGAAGGAGAAGATTAAACAAATTGGCAATCATTTGGTTAAAATGTGAAAAAAAAAACAAAAACAATATGGGAAACTCTCAAACGTATGTTCGTAAAGAATTAACGCATTGTATATTACTTCATCATAACTTCATCCAGTGAGTAGTTATTACAAATTTAATAAATACTAATACAAATGTGAAGATTAACTCAAGCAGTTTAATTTACTACTACCAGTTTATCTATTTTAATCTTTCCTTCCAACAGTAGGTATTGTAGTTTGTAATTTTACTCCAATTTATTAAAAAAAAAACTTATAAGCAAATTTTATACGTATATTATTATTGCTACTGAAAATAAATTGACTTTACCGCTGCTAACTGTTCTTAAAGTGTAATTTGTGTTCATAATATCTCCTTTCTAAAACAATTCGTTATTGACCAACATGAAGAAAAACTTTGAGTAAACACGTTGTTATTGACAAAATAATAACAGTAATAAGTTTAAAATTACTGGTGTCGTTTTCGCAAGAATTATTTTCATCACAAAGTTTTTAAATCTTCACAAAAAATCAAGAAAATCACAACCAGACCTGTATACCAAATATATAGAAAAGTTCGGTTACTTAAATATAAATAGGTTATTTGCACATTTTGCACATTTGTTTTATTATTGTTGCAGCTTTGGCAAAAGAATCAACCATCTCTTTTATTATCCAAAATTTGGATTTAAATTTTCTGGTTTAACTGTACGCGTGTGTTTATTTAAAATCTACTTTGTAATAGGTTTAAAATTATTGATTTATTCACAGTTATAACATTTTCTTGTCAGTTTAATATGTGGCAAACTTATTATCACCTGCCAAAAAACATGACAAATGTCATAAATAACACTAATAATAATAAATTTTGTTTAGTGTAAAAATTTGAAACTATTATTCTATAAAATTGACATACTCTTGTTTTAAAGTGAATAAAATTAAGAATTTTCTTTATTTTTAATCCAGTTGTTATTTATTTAAAAGCGTATTATTTATTTCTAGCAAAGTGCCTGGGAACACATTTTGATTTGTTCATTTATGACCGAAAAGTATACTATCGTAACCATGCTATTTGCTATGACTAATCAAATGGTAGAAACTGAAGTTTTTTTTAAACATACAACCAGAACTTTTACATGTAATGGTGTTTTACCTATTTTAGTCCGCAAATAAAAATCATTCACTCGCGGACTTTCCGTGATACCTACCTACTAAATGTTAGAAACAAAGAGTTTTTTGGTTTTATACTTATGCAGGCACAACATTTTACTGTTTTGTCTAGTTCTGGTCTTATGTCTATGAATTATAGATTTTTAATTCTGGTATCATTTTGGTATCTCTTATCGACTATACTTTTAAAATATTTTCTGCTTCTAAGAAATATTTATTCTATTATAACATTTCTAATGAATTTTTAATCAATAATTAACATGAGGAGGGGCCATGCACTATACACTTAAAACTTTGTTAGTTACGTAAAGCTTTCTACTAACAAGTCAACTTCTGTCAATTAAAATTTATAAAACTACAAAGTTAATGCTTTGTTTACTCGTATGAACTAATAAGTGTTAATAGCTTGAATTAAAGACAAATTTGTAAACAGCAGAAGTCCTATACTAGTTCGGAGATGTTTCAAAGTATGTTATGTTTATCATAGTTAGGTTTCATTTAGTTATAGAGGGTTTGTATAAATACTTAAAACAACCTTGATCTGATATTTTTCCTCTTTTACTTTTCGCTTAGGATTAATTAATTGTTAACAACATAGACGACATAACAGATAAGGGATAAAATGCTATTATGATTAGACTTCGGTTCCAGATCATACTTTTCACTTGACTTTGTTAGCTATGATCAAAAAAATATTAAGACATAAAACAATAAATTAAAAGAAAAAATTAATATATATCGAGTGATTTTAAAAATTAAAATCTAGTTGGCCATGACGCTTACGTCGGCCGTTTTAATTGTACTACTGAAATATGCTTGGCCATGACGTTTATGTCGGCAGTTTCAATTGCACTGCTAACGTACGCGTCATAGTCAACTAAAGCGCAAATTTTTAAAATGCACGGTATAACTTTGCAAAAAGCTAACAAATTTTAAAATTTATGCAGTATTTCAGCTTACTTTGCCCATTCTTTCCGTACATCCAAAAACCACCTTAAGAAAACATCAGTAATAATTTTGACTATGAAAATGAAATACTTGCAATATAAGAAAGATACATATTGTTACGAACTAAACCCATGCGCCGCCTCGGTATGACGCCTATGGGGCGATGATATCATCATCGGTGACGGAGCCGCTAAAGAAAAGCCTGGAAGCGGAAGTCACAATGGGTGTACTTGGACTAGAACTCTTATGCGGAGTTTGCCTCCAGTGTCTATTGACTTTCACTAATTTTTATGAGAACTTAACTAAAGTACCTTGCAAACTTGCCGCAGTCTAGATGGCTGGGACGGGGTTTGTCGAGATGGACCGTAATGAACACAGACCGTACTCAAGACAGAAATCGGGGTAAGTAGACAAGTTTACAACGGTTGGTGGTTAAGCCCTTATAAAATTAGTGGAAGTCAATAGACGCCTGAGACAGACTCCGTACAAGAGTTCTGGTCAAAGTATACCCTAGAAAAACCTCAACCACCGAACATTTAGAAAAAAGTATGGGTTTAAATAGAGTTGCGACGGAATTATTTTGTACATAATCGCTGTGTAATTAGTCGTGTAAATTTGAGTTACTGGGAAATAAATTGTTTAGTATTACCCACGCCGATTTTAGTTATCGGTCAACGTAACAATATTCATCTTAAAACTAACTTTAAATATTTTGCAATTTATTGCATTTATTTATAAATAAATGCTTCATTTTACTTACTGCAATCTACTAAATGTGGCATCGAAATGTATTTCATTATCTTATATAATTTACAATACAGGAATGACTTTATCAAATCGGAAAAAAGTACTTCAAATAGCATCTTCTGAACCAAGACATAATTACAAAAAAAGTTTTGTTCTATTTTGGACGATATGAAATCTTTTAACTATTGCACATATTATGTTAACATTATTTTGAAGCTATTTTATTTCGTGCTTCGAAAGATTACATTTTAAGAGAAACTGTATTTTCCTAACTTTCTACATAAAATTTAGTCTTGCTTTTATATGAATTGCTAAAGCACCCTCTCCTTCTACATCACTTAGCAAAACTTGACCCATTCCATCCTCTCCAACTGTAACGGTTTTCCCTGTACATTTTCCATCCAACACTTCTCCAGAAATTACATCACAGTAAGTACCAGGTGGCAACGCAGTTTGAAATACTTTGTTAATTTGCCCGCCGTTTGTAAACACAACAAAACCTTTATTGCCTCTACTAAATGCAATTTGCTGATTGTCATCTGACCACCAATTATCAACATTTGTTCCAGCAACAACATTTCGGAATTCAACCATGTTAGATATTTGCTTCCACCTGTGTTCACATACGTATTCATTTGAACAACTTCCATCTTCTTTGATTTTCGGGGAGATTAAATTGCCACTTGCATCTGCTGGTGGACCTGCCAATACACATAAATAATTTGTATTGAGTTTAATATTTAAAAGTCTACCTTGATCTTTATCATCAAAACTGAAACTTGAAATGATTCTAGTTGTTCCATATGGATGAGCCAACATGAAAGCTATAGCCATCTTGTACTTTTTAGGTTCTTTGTATGTTAAAGTCACTCCACCAGAACGCTGATTATCGTGATTATCAACAAAAGCTATTGCCTTATCGCTTGGAAGCAAACTCCAGGCGGGTCCCCAATTTTTCAAATAACTTAGTTTGTTATTACCTCGAAATGCATTACATAGCTCGTAGCTAAATTTAAATTCAACTACAGAACCCAAATCTGTGTATTCGTGTTTACTTATGGCTTCACCTCCTGTAAAACTTTTATTTATTACAACTTAAAATTAAACGGTTAATGTAAACAATACCATAATCGATAACTTCTTGATAAATGAAGGGTTTAGAATTGCTTGAAAAACCGAAATTAACATTGAGATTGTTTAATTTTGAAAATATGTATGCTAAATCTGTAGGCCACATGTGTTTTGCGGCATCAATACGAAAACCTGCTACTCCTAAACTTATCAGGTGGTTCATAAAAACAATAATTTCCTCCCGTACATGGTCGAGGCCCTACTAAAACTATATGTTAGAAAATAAATAACATTTTTCTTCCTACATTTCACTGACTTGATTTAAATCAGCAAGACCTTTAAGTCTACAGTTTCTAACATTGACAGGATCTTGATAGTTTTTAACACCACACGGTCTGTGAAAATCATTTGGATTATACGGTACTGCAGGATAAGTGGTGTTGTGATAATAAGCTTCACTGCCCCCGGTTCCCATACCATTTCCAGCGGTCATATGATTCACAACAACGTCGGCGTATATCCTACAATACTGTATAATAGTTTCTTCATTTTACCACCACCAAAGTATATACACCTTATGCCAACAGCATTACATCGACGCGTCATATCAGTGAAATCGGTTTCATTTCCTGATCGATTTTTTAGCTTGTAACTTACAGGTTGATATCTCTCCCACCAGGGTCTATTCTCAATGACCAGATTTTCATTTGGAGGAGAAATCTGTAACAATATATGTCACCACACAGTAATTAAACTAAAATTATTGCTCTTACTTGAACACCAGCATAACCTTTGTGTTGAAGAAATCTTTCGCACTCATCTGCCACATCCCTCCACTTCCATTCAAACAGATTTACAATTGTGTTGCGACCGTTCCAAAAATGAGGATCTCTGTGTCCTAACGTTAAAGGAGCAAGGCAAAAAGCAAAACACACAGCTACTGAAGTATTCATCTTTAATACACAATTTAATATAAGTGGAATTTGTTACTTCCGTATTATGTTCATCTTCTAATAAACAAATAATCGCCAGAGCTTATCTTATCTTTTCTTTACTCAGCTCGAAATAATTCTCATTACTTCCTCATTTTGCTTTATTTTAAAATCATTAACTATTTTATGGTTCCTGATGAGCTACGACATTTTTAAATTATATGAAGATTTACCATGCAATCATGATTTCAAGAGATATTGTTTGAGATGTTATACAATATTTGCTTTCTCTAACATTTTAGTACAGCAAATATGCAATGATAAAATTTAATCGAAAGGTCAAGATTTTTTGCCCCTCAGAGGAAACACAGTAATTTAACTGGGACTTAAATTTAGAGAGCTGTGTACATTTTCAACTGTTACACTGTTGTTCCAGTTCCATATATTGTAAGTTTTCACCTAGACAAAGGGGTCTTAAAATCTCGTGGGATTAAAGCGAATGTTTTATGGTACATTTATCATTCTATTCCCATAAAATTATAGTAATATACGTCGTAAGTCCGGTAACTCAAATTTTACAGTACGAGTGAGAACTGTAAACAGATTTATTTCATACCGTGACTAATTCATTGATTCTTCCAAATAATTATTTTGACATTTATGACATTTTCAAAGAAATTAAGTAGGGCCGATTTGTAGAAAGCGAATATTAATTCTCGATTTATTTAACAGAGGATAAAAATGTAGAGTATAAGCCCGTGATTGGTTAAAACATGCACGTTGCATAGGCAACGCGTTTCAGCTAAAAGTTAATCATGTTGATTCATTCATTCATTCATTCAATTCATAATATGAAACATGTCTTTATTAACGAGGGAAGACATTTACAAATTTCTGAAAGAAGCTCCCACTGATGAGTATCTACTAATAACAGTAAGATATAAATTATAATAAGAAAAACACACTGTAAGCTGTTTTTTTTTTTTTAATTATAAGTAGTAGCCATGATTGGAATAGCCAGCGGTTGCCGGCGGGAAGAATTATATAAATTGTCATTGTACGATATTCAAAAGAGTGAGTCCCAGGTAGTAATCAATGCTGAAGAATACACTGGCCACTCATTTCGAAGATCTTCAGCGTCGAGTTACGGTCAAATAACCGTTAAATAAAGTGGAGTTGCAATGACAACATTATTATTTTAAAAATAAAATCCATGTCCTACTAGACAATTTTTTTCGATCATATAGTATATAAAACTAAACTAATTTCATAAAACTATTTACGCCGTCTTCAGAGTTCTAAATTTGCCTTTATTTCCCTTCTTTGTCTCATGGTTACCCACACAATTAAAACAAAAACTCGCATTTACTTATTACTTATTCCATGAATCTACTTGGAGCTTTAGATTGTAATATGAAATCAATATCAGTCACGTTAGCTTAAATTTTTAAGTAGCTTTTGTACACTGGACTGTACATTTATTATTTATCCCTAACGGGAATCTAGATTTGCATTTATAACCTCTTCTTAAAAAGAAAACTCATTGATAATAATTATTATGTATTCAGTTTCGTATATTCCTGAAGTTTCAGAATTAGAAATAAATATTAAGCCTTGTAATAATATTCTCGGTTTAATAATAATTAGCTTGAAGTGTAATCAATTAATCAGTGCTTAATAGTAACTTATCTAGGTCTAAAACACTGAAATTTATGTACTTCTGCAGTGTAACTTATTCTAAATAATTTCAAAAATTGTATGCTATAAAACTAAGTTAACACTGCTTGAACTGTTTATTACACACTTCATGCTCATACAGTCACAAAATGACTTAGGACTTAGTACCTGCTAAAGTTAAACACCAATAAAGCAGTAATAAACACGGAATATAGGTCCCACTATACCCACTAATGAAAGCTCTCACATTATGTATAAATTTATGCACAGAACATTTGGGGTTACTGATGGTTTATTAAGAAATCCTGTGTGCAAGAATACAGGGTTAAAAAATGTTTCTTCAGCGTAGGTGGGTGGCTTAAACATAGGTAGAAAGCGACAAATAGATAGGCTGAAACTTTTTTGAAGCCACCTACGAAGTAAGAAATATTTTTAATAGCCCCGTATAAGCGACTATACACATACTTTTTTATCCAAAATTTTCCAACGTCATAAAAAAATTAAAAATATTGCACTGTTGCTAAAATTTATTTGTATGTCCACACTGTGGTCTCCGACTGCATTGAAATTTCTGCTATTAAATCTCCAAGCCTTTCACTGTTTATTCAGTTCTAGTAACTAGATTTAATTTTGACCAGATTAAGTAATTCTGCAGACTTGGATTTGTACTTACTTTTACGAAAACTATTTTTCGAAATTTATAAATTATGACTTTGAAGTATTTTTCCTTAAAAACAGGAGTTACAATTAGGAAAAACATCCAGCACAAATTATCATCACTTTACATCAAACGCGAATCTAAATCCAAATCTAAAATTAGCAAAATTTTCGTTATCGAAATATAAACGTAATTAAATTAAAGCAGTTCTAGTTCCATTTTTATTTCCTTAAGCTTGGCAGAATGTTTATGAAAAAGGTGCGCATAACAAATTATCTAACAGTTATTTGCAGTATTTCCCACTACATTCCTTAAATAAAAAAAACTGCACTGTCCTAACTTTTCGTTTTTAAATTAAAAAAGTGCATATAAGGAAATCAGACGAATAACTGATTATGTAATGAAAGAGATTCACAACTTAATTAATCAGAGTTGAACATTTAATTAGTATTACAATATTTAAACCCCTCTTTATAAATCGGATATTATAACTTACACCTATGACACCATTAGCCATTAGCACATTATAATGGGATAATCTAATTAATTATAACACAATTAATTAATATATAGCACAACAAAATAAGTATTTTCATGTTACTAGAAAACTGTACATACTTTTTTGTAATTAGCAAAAATTTGCATTTGCGTTTGATTTGCTCGGAATTTAATTCGCTTATTGTATAAACTATATATTTTAAGTAATAACAAAGTTTAGTCACATTTTATTGGTAAAACGTTCAACTCTACGCATCCAATGTGGTATAAAAAGTTCGTAGCCATTATCCACTTTTTCGCACATTAACTTTCTAGGTAACATCACCAATCTTTACTTCTAATCTTGCAAACGTTTTATATTATCATAAGCTAATCAAAATGTATCTGTTTATTCCCTCCAAAAATTTGATGACGTCATCCCAGAAGTATACTGAATAAATTTTATTTAACATGTGTGAACTAGTTACTAGGAATAAGTACATATGTGGTTTACCGCATATTTTAGAATTGCTTAAACAAATGATTAAAAAATCGCACGACTTATTTATAACACTGTGTTACGGGATGGTTCTATTAGTTTACCACCACACTTCTCAATCGTCAATCATCAGGAAAACTAAAAGCGGTAAACAGAACAATACATTAGAAGAAGCCGCTTATTTAACATTCATTTGTCTGTCAAAAACCTAACCAAACTGTCTGATAAATCTCATGTGATATCAGATAGATTCGTTCCAAAAAATGGAGAAAATTGAAAAAATTAATAGAGACCATTACATAATATTTAGTAAAAATTTGACGTGAGAATGTTTGTGCAAATCCTTTCTTCGAATTTATCACAAAAGAAGTGAGAAATCTGCTCATATGTAGTACAATGTCGATGTAATTATAATTACACTTGCTACTGCACCTGAACCTGATAAAAGATAAAATTGTTATTCCCAAAACAATAAAGCAACTTGCGAGTGTGAATTCTCATGAAATAGAACTGTGTTACGAAGCGCTGAACTCTTTCAATGATGCAGGCAGTTTCATTTCTCCAATATTTATCTTTTCAAGAAAAAAGGACTACAATATAATGGCAATTTTTGGCCTACACCATTTCTATAATTTGCTTCAATATAAATACGTGATCCATTACCCACTTTAATATTTTGTCTGAAGCCATATGGCATTCTGCAATCTTTTCCTGTACTATGCTGCTTAGTCGATTTTTAATTGCCGCTGTTGATCTTATCTATTGTATCTAATAATATTATGCCACTATAATTAATGCACTTAAATCTATCCTCTTTGTTGTCACACATTTAACAATTTCTCTTCTACCCATACTTTACTTGTAATTTTATATAAAGCTTCTCTCTCACCCTCGGTTCACGTACCTTCAGGTGTATCAGGGTTAAATAAAAAAATTTTGTCTTAAAACTAAAATTCATCGCCTCCATTGTCATTCACTGTTTCATAAAAAAAACACGAACAGTAAAATTTTCTGTCATCGCCATTAGTGCAATACAATACAACTTATTTTAATGCCTTAATTTTATTTTTAAATCAATAAAATTAATTGCCACCGACCTCGCAATCTCCTATTTAGTTACTCTTCAGTTTCCATTGTTGCACCTAAAACGATATTGTTGCAACAATAATAAATCAACTAGAATAAATTATTATTAATTAGCTTAGGTAATATATAATTAAACTTGGCCAACTCTTTTTTTACAAATTTCTAATAACACATCCTACGTTAAGTATAAAATAATTAAATATTCAAGTGTGAAACAAAAGAAAGTAGACAGCTATTAATTATTGCTATTTTGTTATTTAATGTAGTGCTAGTGTAAATTGAATTGTAAATTGCTTTTAAGACACGAGTAATGTGTAAATTATTACATAGCAGCCAAAATACATTGTCACATCAAAATGTTTTTAAACAATTACTGCTTCAAATAATAAGTATGTTTCCTGCTATCAATACTCGTCCAGTGTTTTTAACCAACGATTCACTTTCTTCTCAAAGTGTTAATAAGAATGTTCAGAAAATTATCTCCAACAATCATGTTAAAATCGTACTTATATGTATATATGAAGGCCCATGCATCCTAGGAAAAAAAAAGATAGAACATATCAACCGATTTTTAGAAAACTGAGTTGTCATTAAAAGAAAACATCAATTAAATAATAATCATAACTTTAACAAGAACATCCAAAAAATTTAATTCAATATGGTTTAAACAATGTACGACGTGAACAAAATGTTCGTTTCAGCAAATCGTATCCCTCTTTTTTATTTAATCATGTAAGGAATAATGCAAGCTAATAATTTCAATTTACTTAAAATGCACACGATTCCGTTAATTTTATCAAAATAAAAAACATAAGCAAAAACAACTTTGTAGTCAATATTGCATTTCAACATCTTTTCTGGTTATGCATCGTTAAACCTGTCGTCTCTCCACCTTGACAATGACACCACAAGAACTTGATTTCATAAATCACGGTCGTGTTTTTATTGTATATTATCGTCGTACGCTTCAGTTAAAAGGTGTTCTTCACAAAAAGTTTCATTAAAAGTTTCTATTTTAGAAGGTCGTAAGGCAATTTACAAAAATTTCTTTTAATAAACATTTCCAAACATATTTCACCATTTCCTACACTTACAACACAAGGAAAACTAAGCAACAAAAGCAAGATAATTAAACATGGCATGATTTTACGTAAAAATTTGTTGAATTTTGTCAGGCTTCTGGTCGCAAGACACTAATTCGTGTTTTTACTTCAAGTTAATTTTAAGCAGTTTCCACCACTCACTTGTTTAGAAGTGATAAATTACATAAAAGGAAATCATATAATAATACGCTCTATTTTCCTCTAGTCGGTTACTTGTATGCCTCTTGGGGCAAATTTTTATTCGCACGAATTACGTGAAATCTGCACAAATCGCTGGTTCCCCAACTAATGAGCACAATTTGTGCATATATTCATTTTTCAGGGAAGTACTTTTAGATAGAAACTCAGTTATATAAGAAGTGCTTAATCAAACTCATTTCAAGATGCATACGATTTAATGTTTACCGAGCAACATAGGCACGAATTTAACAAAAATAAATGGTGGCACCATTTATTACTGTTGCAGTTTAAACACGCATACTATTACAAGTAATTTGCAATTATTATTACTTTATCAATTCGGACATGACTGATTTATATTTATTATATAAAGTCTTAATTAGTGGAGTTTCAAATTATAGAAAATGCCCCGAATTTCAACATCCTTAATTGGTTTTAAATTCTTATCTAGAAACCGAAATATGAAGGTTGGTTTAGATCATCGAGTGATTTTTGCATAGCACCGCATCAGCAACCATAACCTGCGTCTATTGCGGAAGATTTAATAATTACTTAACGATTTCAAGGTCAACTTTTACTCTCATCGCAGAATGTGAACCATCTCACTAATGAGATGCGTGCTACGCACAGATTATAACGACTTGGCTGGATAACTATATTAATCATGTAATATGTTACAATTTTTATGTAACTTTGGGAACAGGTCTGTCGTGGCTTAACGCAGCATTGTGTTTTCCTATAACTACGTACGCACAAAGAAAAGTGGGGGCGTAGAAAGCCATGCAGACAACTTTTGACACATTTACGTCAACTAATATAAATACAACCAGTTTGTGTCTTTCGGCAAGCAGTCGTTATTTAGCAAATCTATCATGAAGCTCCAAGTAAGTGCCTGTGATGAGTTTTCCAAGACAGTGTTCAATTTTTCTTTGTTTGTAGAATTGTGCCCTTGTACTGGTTTTGGGTTTGGTATCGGCCCTCCCTGAAGAAAAAACGGAAAAAACGGCAGCCACTTCCGAAAAGAAGCAAGATAAACGTGGACTTTTGGATTTTGGATATGGAATAGGAGGCCATGAACTTGGAGGTGGTTTTGAATTGGGACATGGAATCGGGTTCGGGTCCATCGGAGATTACGAAGGACACGGTCATGTCAAACACATCACAATCACTAAAGAAATCCCTGTTCCAGTACCACACCCAGTACCTTACCCAGTAGTCAAAAAGGTTGGTGTACCATACCCAGTCAAGGTAGCGATCCCAGTCGATCGCCCGTATCCAGTACATGTACCCAAACCATACCCAGTAACTGTAATAAAACCAGTACCTGTACCTGTAGAAAAACCAGTACCATATCCAGTTAAAGTAGCTGTCAAAGTACCAGTACCAGTGCCACACCCTGTGCCTGTACCCAAACCCGTACCTTATCCAGTGCACAAACCAGTGCCTTACCCAGTCAAAGTTCCAGTGTATGTAGAGAAGAAAGTTCCAGTTCTTGTCAAAGGACATGAAGGGTACGGTCTCGAAAGCCATGGCTTTGAACTAGGAGGGTTTGGAGGTCATGAATTCGAACTTGGAGGGTATCATTAAATAAATAACGGCTGCAGCAGCGTAAATGTCATCAGTATTGTTGCACTTGATTGCTCATTTTGTCTGTTTATTATTTAAATTATGTATTTATTCTTTATTTTCAGTAAATGAAATGTTCTTTTAAAGGGAGTCTTTTATTTATATTAAGGATTTTTTGTCTTTTTACTTAACATGCATTTCACAAATTTTCACTTTAATCACACAAAATGACATAAAACAAAAAATTACGGAATTCTATGAAGCGAAGAATTCGAATTGAAAAACACATACAAAACATTAAAATGGAACTTTACCCCACATGATCGAAAAAAAGTAGGTCCTGCACTTTATTTTTAAAATAATGGTATTGACAACACCAACACGTTACTTTTTGAAAGTTACAATACAAATAACTGTCATACAATAATCATTTTTAAAATAAATTGCACAACCTACAGTGGTAGATTGTACAACAAGGGTGGCAATGATTCCCGTATCACATGAGGGCGACAGTAAATGCACGAGCGATAGCGAGTGCGTGAAGTAGCCCGAAGGTGATACGGGCAATCCACTGGAGTTCTACAGTCTACTTTTTCTACAACCAACTGTATTTAACGTTTTTTATCTTGCACACCACGGCTTCGTTGAAATACAGATTGACATAATGACAGTGATGACAACTATCAACTGTCAATTTTTTTAAAAAGTTAACAATAATACGTACAAGTAATTATATTTAACCAAATAAACAGTTTTTACACTACTTACTATTATTCGTGGTGCCTGCAATCATCTTCATACAACTCAGTTTATGAAATCAGTCACTTGCTAATTGACAAGTGACATTTTTATGTGCGCAGAAAGTGTCGATGGAACAAAACGGAGATAAGGTAAATTCGGGAAAGAAGCGTTGTGAGTTGTCGCTATTATTATTAGAAGCGTTTAATATAAAGACTTTTTTGTAGTATGTAAATAGTTTTGCTTGATCAGGAAGGGAAAAGAATTGTAAAGCCATACGACACTTTGCCTTGCTATCAAAATACAACATCTAACCTGAAAGAAACCAATTTATTTTAATTTACCTTATTTAGGCCTCTCCTTTCCCATGTCAAAATTACAAAATGCGTTGATTGGTTGATTTCATATCTATTCTTTTTAGGATATGAATTCATATCTGTTCAGTGTTCAGTTAGCTGCAACTGCATAGATTTCCATTCAGTATGCAATTTAGAAATGTGTGAATAGAAGTAGAAAAGGGAGTTTTTTCGATTATATGGTACAGCTTGATCAAAAGTTTGGTTATGACATTTTAGTAACAATGAATAAAAAATTTTTATGTTCATGAAATGTCACAGTTAACCACGTCAGTTTTGACAAGAGGAAGTAAAGTGGAACGACAGAAATACCAATTTCTAGCAAAATGTATTGCTACCAACTACTAAAACATCGCTTGTCATCATGTTGTACCTACTTTAAAATAGAATAAATTCTAATACGTTTCGTAAATACAAATACGGAAACTTTCTAATTTTAGAACTAGAGACTTTACGTTTAACATTATAGGCAATTTAAAATTACCATATAAATACTACTTGTGGACTACAGTGAGCAAGAAAAGATATGTAATTATTAGTTGTCCAAGCATATAGTACAGTAATAATTATATCATTACTAGATAAATATTGCTTTTTATTTGTATTTGTTTATTTATTTTTATTTGAAAAGTAAAACTGGACAGAGGACAATGCCCTGTTATGTCCAAGGAACACTGCAGGTACTAATTGATATAAACTGCATAATATTATAAAAACTGTAGGAACTGGTAATTCTAAACGATAAACTAAGCAATCCGGAAGGCGTCGAAGGCAATCTTGAAATTAACTACGGAAATACTCTGTTCAATATAAGAGGGAGTTGAGTTCCGTGTGTTGAAGATTTTGTCTTAAAAGGAAGAAGCATTTATAAGATCGCAGTTAACACAAGTATTAAGACACATTCAGATCATCTGCAAATAATGTGAATGGACCTGAAGAACTCGAGCAAGATCGGCTGTATAAATAATAAAAAGTGGAGGTCCTAAAACAAAAGCTTGTGGGACTCCGCTTAACACTTCTCCTTGAGAACTAAAGGAACTTCCAATTTTACCCTAAAAGTCATAGAAAACTTGGAATCCACTTTAGTAAACAACCCCTGGTACCAGCATGTTGCAATTTATGCACCAAACGGCGGGTGGGTACTTTGTCGAAAACTTTGGGAAAATCAAAATAAACTATATTGACGGGATTGTCGTTGTTTAATTCTCTATTTCAATCATTAAGGGTACAAAGGAGGTCACTAAAAACAGATCTGTCAGGGATAAACCCATGCTGTTCAGAAGGAATAACTTTATTGTCCGATAGGAACTGCATCATACGATCGCTAATAAATTAATGAGTTCCGTCCCTTTACCGACTGTGGTCTTTCTAGAGCAGAAGCACACTCCTTCAAAATGGCAGCACAAATGTCGTCAGATCCGGGAGAGGTAGTTTCCTTTAACTTCTGGAGTATCACACGGATCTCATTCTCAATAAAATCAACATCAGATACAGAAACACCGCTTTGAGGACTTGCTATATCTATAGGACTCTCTAATGGTTCTACCGTGTACTCATTTGCGAAAGAGTCAGTGAAGATGTTTCAGAATGTTGGGGTCCGTGGTTTCTTGGACTGATGCATTGGCTGTTTGGTCGTCTTAAGTAAGAAAGATGCTATAATTTGTACCATCATATTTTATCACCAAAGACGAAGATTGGCTCATCCGTCGTGACAAATATCTGACGTCTAAAACTGAGTACATGACTATACTCATCGTTTCGAATCCCTGCAATTAAAAAGGACCTAGGGAGACAGCTTTGTAATCTAACGTTTTAATAACAGAGCGAATACTGTTGTGGGGAATGGTAGAACACAAGTTTGAAATAATTATTCGCTGTGCGGTGGTAATCAGATGTCGAATCCCAACTTCCTGATCGCTAATAGTTAAAGAAAGATATTTCGTCACAAGCTCGTCTACTAAAAGTTTATCCTTCATATCAATACAAATTCGGTTGTTCGCAATTCTTGAAACGAAGAGGACATTTTTGGATTGGACTAAATTATCAATAGCGACAACATTTTCAGTTAATTTCGTTAAATGCTTTGAGTACAACAGGAGATGGGGATGCTATCATGAGTAGCAGTAGCAAGTGATGTATTTTTGTATTATATTGTATATTTTTACACTTACAATCTAAACTACGACAAATACTTGTAATTTCTGTATAAATAAAAAATTACATTAGTGTCTTTTAAATGTATTGTTTTCACAGCAAAAAAGAAGATAATTATTTTACCATTTCATTTTGAGTAATAATAATTTACATTTTTTAGTTTTATAATATAACTAAGATAAACTGTTCCACTTCAAAAAAATGGTACATGGTAAGATGGTTATTTCGACAGAACTTCCATCGCCCACGAAGTACAGAGCAACAAATCCGCGTTATTCGAAAAAATATAGAATTTAATTTTGCCATATTTTATTTGTGGTAACCTTTATACATAAAAAATATAGAGGCAAAACAGTGTAAGAAAAAAACCAGTGGGGTAAATAACACCCCCGTAGCCCCTGCACCCTAGGGGCGCATTTTCCAAAGGAGCGCAGCCCACAGAAGTGCAGAGAATATGAAATAGATTTGGCCACTAGGACGTCCCGATAACAACGCCCTGCGTTAGAAGAAAATCAAATTTCATCGATTTTGTCTCGGACCGAATATAATTTTGGGGGAGCTGTTATTATGATAATTATTACTCCTATTATTTTATTGTTATTTTAGAGATTCTTCGAAAAATCATAAAATTATTTAGTCTTTTTTAATTAACTCCTATAAGTTAAAGTAATGATATGCGTGGCCTGTTAAGGTACAGGTAAAGAAGCGTACCATGCGTATGTTTCAAGTGAGTTTGTCCATAATAAAATTTTGCCATCAACAGTTTATCAAGGATTCATAAATTTGAATAAGTGCAACGTAAAATAATACTGTAGTTACACTCAATCTACTTTTCTGTATCTACTTCTTTGTACCCTCTAGGTGTCATGAAACGTCGAGTAAACATGAAAGTAGCCATTCGTCGGAAAAAAACAGCCTGCGTTTTACTGTGTGTTTATTTTCTTCCTTTTTGTTATTTTCTATTCTTACATTTTTAAAAATCATTTTTTTACTTCCCGTGCATAAACTGAGAAAGTATTGTAACTCAGTACATCGGGAGACTGGTTGCTTTCGCATTTTCTCGATGGGTCATGAGCCTAGAATACGAAATAATGGGTCTCCTCTTAACGTCTATCTGTCTGTCTGTCTGCCTGTTTGTCTGTCTGTCTGTCCGCCGTTCGTAACGAATTTTGTTAGACCGATAATGTCCGAAACTACTGGACCAATTGTCACATTTTACATGTGTATTATTATGAACATCATGATAAAACGCTAATCAAACTTTGTTGCATCATCCCCACCATTACCGTGATGACGTCACCTCAAAATTGTACATAGTAAATGGGTTTAAAATTGTATAAAATAACATACTCCTACATGTGTAGTTTATAAATCCGTTCAGTTTTTACTCAAAACATCCTGATTTTTGGAAAAAAAAAAACAAAAATACATATATAACAACATTTTGCTATTTAATTTTGAATCTGCGAAAAGTTAAGTCTGGTTTAAATGGAGCGGAATTTCAGGAATAAAATTTGGTAGAAATATACGAACAAGTTAATTAATTTTAACACGGACAATATTCTAGGAAAAATCTTTTGAATTTTTTTAGTTTTTGTTTTATCCTTATCATAAATTTTAAGTTTTTCATTATATATTTATGCACATATTATTTAAATATGAAATTTTGTTCCAGATTTTATTATCTAATTTATTCCAGACTTAACTGATTAAAATTCATTATAAATATTACCAGTCAAACACATTTCTTGAAGAAAAGATTTATTAAATGCAAAAGTGTCCAGAGCATTAAAACAGTGAGAATTTATATGAAATATAGGTTC